ACTCTTTGTCAGGGAGTGCAGTGACAGGATAAGGGGGAACGGTTTTAAATTAGAAGAGGGGATTTAGATTAGATACTAGGAAGAAATTCTTTGCTGTGAGGGTGGTGAGACACTGGCCCAGGTTGCCCAGAGAAGCTGTGGCTGCCCCATCCCTGGAGGGTTCAAGGCCAGGCTGGATGGGGCTTGGAGCAACCTGGTCTGGTGGGAGGTGTCCCTGCCCAGGGCAGGGGGTTGGAACTAGATGATCTTTAAGGTCCCTTCCAACCCAAACCATTCTATGATTCTATGATTTTCCATCTAAACCAAAGCACTACTCAGAAACAAACCTTAACACCCCACGTCGCTTTGTGCAATCATCTCCCTCTCCACATTTCACTTCTGGTTTTGCACAGTTATATGCTCCAGGAACGAAACGCTGCCATCTTTCAATTCCTTAATCTTCTCTAAAGTTCAGACTCTGTTTTACCTGCACAAGCATCAGCTCGGTAATCTCGGGCAGAAGTGCCAAGGGCCTTAACGCCCTCTTGACCGCGCTCTTTTCCAGCGGTGCCATCATCCGAAGGCACATCTCACCCCGGCCTGGCGGGGACCCAGGCTGCTCAATTTCCCCCATAAATTTATTTTCAGGGCGCCCGTCCCAGCCCGTAGAAGCGGTTTCTCGGGGGCCGTTGCCGCCGGGTGTCGCTGCCGGACGCCGGTTCCCGCTCGGGCGCTGGCGGGGGGGGAGCTGCCCCCATCCCTGCCCGCATCCCTTCCCCCATCCCTGCCCGCGTCCCTGCCCGCGTCCCTGCCCGCATCCTTTCCCACATCCCTGCCCCCATCCCTGCCCCCATCCCTGCCCGCGTCCCTGCCTGCATCCCTGCCCGCATCCCTGCCCCCATCCCTGCTTGCATCCCTCCCAGCATCCTGCCCGCATCCCTGCTTGCATCCCTGCCCGCATCCTGCCCCCATCCCTGCCCCCATCCCTGCCCGCGTCCCTGCCTGCATCCCTGCCCGCATCCCTGCCCCCATCCCTGCTTGCATCCCTCCCAGCATCCTGCCCGCATCCCTGCTTGCATCCCTGCCCGCATCCTGCCCCCATCCCTGCCCCCATCCCTGCCCGCGTCCCTGCCTGCATCCCTGCCCGCATCCCTGCCCCCATCCCTGCTTGCATCCCTCCCAGCATCCTGCCCGCATCCCTGCTTGCATCCCTGCCCGCATCCTGCCCCCATCCCTGCCCCCATCCCTGCCCGCGTCCCTGCCTGCATCCCTGCCCGCATCCCTGCCCCCATCCCTGCTTGCATCCCTCCCAGCATCCTGCCCGCATCCCTGCTTGCATCCCTGCCCGCATCCTGCCCCCATCCCTGCCCCCATCCCTGCCCGCGTCCCTGCCTGCATCCCTGCCCGCATCCCTGCCCCCATCCCTGCTTGCATCCCTCCCAGCATCCTGCCCGCATCCCTGCTTGCATCCCTGCCCGCATCCTGCCCCCATCCCTGCCCCCATCCCTGCCCGCGTCCCTGCCTGCATCCCTGCCCGCATCCCTGCCCCCATCCCTGCTTGCATCCCTCCCAGCATCCTGCCCGCATCCCTGCTTGCATCCCTGCCCGCATCCCTGTCCGCATCCCTGCTTACATCCCTCCCAGCATCCTGCCCGCATCCCTGCTTGCATCCCTGCCCGCATCCCTGTCCGCATCCCTGCTTACATCCCTCCCAGCATCCTGCCCGCATCCCTGCTTGCATCCCTGCCCGCATCCTGCCCCCATCCCTGCCCCCATCCCTGCCCGCAACAGCCCCCACCTTCACCTTCCCAGTGGCGATGGTTCTAGATGTGCTGCTGGTGAGGGCACCCACCTCAGCTCTAATAGTTTCCAGCCCATAAGACCGGTCTGATGTTCCCCGCTGCTGCAAGCTTCCCAGCCATCCCTCTGATGACCTGAGCAGTCGGAAAGCCCGTGGGCTGCGTGGCAGCCACCTTTTATATCAAAAAAGATGCGGGTATTTGTTAGCAGATGCTGCCGAGAGGCACCGCTTACCCACCTGGAGTCTGCCCCTGCTATGCCCACCTTCTGCTTGAGGGCCCCTCTTAATTCATGACTCTTTGCTGAAGTTTGGCTGATGACCTGGATGGGTTGCTCCGCCTTGGTTGATGGGGTCTTTCGTTTTTATTCTTCTACACTTCTTTGGTGGAAGAAGCCGGTTTCTATATTTCACAGTCAGAAAAAGCTCCTTTAGGTAGAATGACCTGGTCACATTACCCTCAGCCGTTTCAAACTTGCAGGGCAAGAACTAATTAAATACTGAAATTGCTTTAGATCTTTTAAACTCAGAATGGACAAATGCTGAAGTTGTTTCTGGTGGAGTAAAAAACAAAACCAACAAACAAAACCCAAGCCTTTCCATCTCTCAGAACAGGTTTTTTTTTCCTCTTTGATTTATTTTTCCCTCCTGGAAACAAGTAGTTTCTCTCAACAGAGATCACAAGCTCTTCCCAGTTTTTGAGGGGAATATTCTTACACTTTTGGCTCAATACATATCATAAAAATCAATTCTCATAGGCATTCTGAAAGACAGTGGAAAGAATGGGTTTTAAGTGTTCTTTTACAGACTGCAAATCAAAGGTTGGGATATCAAGGATTTTAGGCTGGAAAATAAGTAGAAACAAAACCGAAACTAGCTTATAGCTGACCTAAATTTGCCCAAGGTGGGAAAAGGAAAAAGAAAGCTCTTAAAGCAGCTTACCCCTTTGGAGAACTGTGTAAGTCAACATCAAGTGTTTGGCTGTGTTAGCTGAAGGTAAATAAAAAATAGGCAGTTAAAAAAGGGCTGGAGGATTTAGATAAGATAGATGGCAACAGAAAAGGTAAGAAACCTAAGAAGATAATATAAGGGTTTTCCAGGAAATTAAAATCCATGATTCAAAATGCACAACAGATGCAAAATAGAGAACCTAGTTTGGATCTTTATGTGAGAAAATCATGAAGGGACTGAGAACCGAAAGAGAACCCAAATGTGAACCTCCTGTAAAGCAGGGAATTATACTGCCATTATTAAGAATGTGTGCTATTCTATCCACTTTCAGGAAAGGGTATTAAAATAAATCTTCCTTGGCAGACAAAGCAGTGGGAAGAAAATAGAGAAGCACAATGAAGCAAAAATAATTAAAGCGCATTAAAAATATATTATATTGTATCTCTGAGGGTTTCCTTTTTACATCCATCGTGCCTCCTCTGGGACTTTTTCCAGTTCTGTTTGTTTAAAAAAGCTACTGCCAAAATGAAAAAAAGAGTCCCAGCCAGAGAGAGCCTTCCCTTACACCCACAATCTGCTCAGGTTGGCTGTAACACGCTTAGAAATATCCCTGTACCTAATATTGCTCCCCATAAGAGACAAGGTCAGGTCCCTCCACCCTGAGATTCTAGGAACCCGGAGCCAAGGCAGCTTTTCCTGCGTGCAGCCAAGGCTCACAATTTGCAAACACGGACTGCCACATTCTTTCCCTAAATACCACCAGGGATTTAAAAGAATCCAGGTATTTTGACTTCTCAGCAGTTTAACGTGATGGCTACTCTCAAGGGTGTAGGGGTATTCTGGACAGTAGGAAGAGGTGGCCGTGATGACCAGAATGGCTACTCTCAAGGGTATAGGGGTATTCTGGACAGTAGGAAGAGGTGGGAGCGATGGGTTGGGTGACTAGCTGTATGTCAGAAGAGGTCATTGCTCCATGGGTAGTGATGCTGCTTCAATCCATCCAGATTAAATCAAATCAAATCTTGGATTTGCCAGTGTATTTCAGAAGTTATGCAGGGCTGTACATCCGGCTCCGGTTGCAAGGTCAACGCAAGCACTGAGTGGAAAATGGCTAATTTTTGCCTGTTTTGTCATGATGTAACACAGAAGGGTAATGCAATCATTTCTATAGTAATAGAATAGACAAAATGGAGCTGAGTTAACGTTAGTTTGCTTTTTCTCAGTCCTCTCACTTTCTGACTGGTGCACTTTTGAAGGGGTCGTTGTTTAGGTCTTTTTTCATGCTTCCAGCAGTCTACCCTTCCCTTTTCTGGGCCTCAAAGACCACTTTTTTTTTTTTTCCCCTCGTAGTATTGGAGAAAGTGTATTCTGCATTGGGGTACGGCATCTGTTTGAAAAGAAAACGAAAATTGAAATTTTTGCAGTCCGCGGTATGACAGATCGTTAATAATCCGTAATGCGCAGGCTTTCCATCTGCTATTATTGCTCTCAGGTCAGTTGGCCCTAGGAAAGCAGGAAGGAAATGGAAAGCTTCAGTGAACACGAACAAAAAAGCTTCTATAAGCCTGCAACGTATAAGTGAACTCCAAGCCGCTATTCCCTGGAAACGCCAAAGTTGGCTCTGCTTATATTTCTGTTTCTACGAGTAAATTCCTCCCTTCACAGGAAAGGCACCAGACAGACGTTTTCCGTACAATGGCCTCAGATGAAGGCGCAGCCTCTGGTGCCTTTGTTCCTGAGAAGGGATCTTCTCCCAGCCAGAAACCCCTCTGCACCTCCTAAAACTGTTTCTCTTCCACAGATAAACGCGAGCGTTCGCCCTCTTCGGCTGTTTCATGTGCATCAGGGTCCTCTGAGCTTGCGACTTGGTCTACAAGCTTATTTTGAAAATGGAAGATCACTGGCATGGTGAAAAACCCTCTTAAAATGGATGTGTGCTTCCGACCCAACTAACTGGTGCTTAGTTTTACGGGTAATGGAATCACGACTTCGGTTCAGTAGTTAGATGAGCAATACCATGGTGCTGTTGCAGGTACCTTACCAATCTTATCTAATTAATGTTTAACACGATTTTGAAAAAAAACCAAAGTGGAACGATATAGGAAAAGCAGAGACTAGTTTATAGAAGAAGAGGTATAACTTTTTTCAAAACACTTAAAAAACCTTCCTGTATCCAAACGACGATTGGATTTGAATCTGTACCGTGGAGAAAAAGAGGGTTTGGAAGAAAAAAAGAAAAAAGATAGCATTTGGCAAGAAGCCCCAAAGAAGTATAGACTTTTTCCCCTTGCCTAGCGCACTGCTGAGGAGAAATCACGTGCAGGAGGGGCCGGCCCTACCCTTTCTGCTTTTTATAAGCGAGCTGACATGTTTGAACGTTGTTCTCATAAGGAAGTACACGGGGCACTTTTTTTTTTTATTGCAAGTGCAGCGCCCTTTTTAGTGAAAGCTTACGAACATATGTTTTGATGAAAGACTGAAAATACTAAATGAAAAGAAGTTAACTTCAGGTTTCTGAAGGGAAGTGCTGTGCTTGCAAAGCTGGCTCTAGCAGAACAAGCCTAGCCACTGGACGAGGAGAAGAAAGCATTGACATCAGCAGGCACCCAACATTGCTGGTGCAATAGACCTGGAAGGTAATAAAACCCCCTTTTCTTCTCTGAACTTCATTTCTCTTGTATATTGTTTGGCTGTTGTCCTGGTTTGGGGTAAAACAGAACTAATTTTCTGTTCAGTAATTTTACTTTTCTAGCTGGGCCTCTTCTAACGAACTAAACTCTGAAAATTAACAGCATATTGTTCAGAAACTGTTCACTCTCACAGTGATAAGACCTGATTATACCAAGTGATGGGGAGCAGAGTGGCCCCTGCTTATACGTATTGCTATAACAACCAAGGGCAGGGAAATTTGTTATTTGCCCCGTTGGAGAGTCAGAAGCGGAAAAGCGTAGAGGGGTCCCACCTGTGGGGAGGAGAGGACAGGAGAGGTGACCCAAAACTGACCAACAGGGTATTCCATCCCATCTGCATCACGCTTAATATAAAAGCTGAGGGATCAAAGGGTCAACTCTCTTCCTTCAATGGCCGACGTCCGAGGAGGACCCTGTCTGTTCGTCTGCCTTTGATCCCGATCCGAGCGTTCCTGACTCCAGAGCTGGAATCTGGCTCCTGTCCATCACCGAGTCCAGCCTGGGACTTTCCCCTGTGCCTGCTGGTGACCTGATCATCATCCTGGGAGCTTGATACGGTTTTGTATACACTGCATATTTTTTTTCTTTTTCTTTTTTTTTCCTTTTTTCCTTTTTTTCCCTTTTTTATTATTATTAATTATTTCATTATTTATATTTTCATTAAAGTAGTTTAGGTTTTTTCCTAAACTCATTTTTTTTTAACTTTTTTTTTAACCTCTTCCTCTCCTCTCTTTTCCCATATTTTTTTTCTTTTTCTTTTTTTTTCCTTTTTTCCTTTTTTTCCCTTTTTTATTATTATTAATTATTTCATTATTTATTTATATTTTCATTAAAGTAGTTTAGGTTTTTTCCTAAACTCATTTTTTTTTAACTTTTTTTTTAACCTCTTCCTCTCCTCTCTTTTCCTTAGGGAGGGGTCATCTGTTGGTCTGGTTGGTCAATTCGGTCAAAACCATGACAGATTTATTGGCGCCCAACGTGGGGCTCAACCGTGGTACAACTAGAGCTCTGGTAGATTGTCTGAATAGTTTGAATTCCAGCTTGCTCGGAGATCAAAACAGACAGCTTACATCATGTTTTTAGACAGAATATTGTATCATATCTTGATGGGAATTTCTTCCAGGTTACTTGATTCGGCCCTGTACAATTTGCCTGATGTGTTGTATAATTTACTTGCTCTTTGTATCTGTACGTGGTGGTTCAAACCTGGTATTGTGTTTTATTCTGATCCATACTGTGGTGGCCCTGTACAATTTGCCTGATGTGTTGTATAATTTACTTGCTCTTTGTATCTGTACGTGGTGGTTCAAACCTGGTATTGTGTTTTATTCTGATCCATACTGTGGTTGAATGGCTGGTTTCTTTACCTAGTTTCCTCGGGCATGTCGTACTGAATTCTGTTGCTAATCATACTTTGAATTTTACTTTGGGAATGTTTACTTTACCCTTTACTGCTCCGGTGAAATTGTCACCATCGGAGACAGAGGATGCAGCCCCTTTGGATAGCGTGACTGAGAGCTGCATTCCTAAAATCATTATTTTAGTGTTGATATTGCTAAATGGGCTGCAGGGATGGTTTCTCTTTAGATTTTGGGGCGGAAATGTGATATGCAGTGACAGTGACCTTGCTCGGACTCCACCCGCACCGGGACAAGTTGCTCTGGTGACCAGAAGGAGAAGGAGGAGGTCAGCTCAGCCCTCTGCTGAAGAGGACTCTTCTGATGCAGAAGAGGGTGCTTCTAAAGCCAATAAGGGAGAGGCTCCTGCGCCACCAGGGGAGAGGACTCTTCTGATGCAGAAGAGGGTGCTTCTAAAGCCAATAAGGGAGAGGCTCCTGCGCCAGCAAGAGAGAAGGACTCAGATACAGAGATAATCACTAAATCCTTCTCCATGAAGGATTTGCAAAATGGGCAGGAGAGGAGGACTCAGATACAGAGATAATCATTAAATCCTTCTCCATGAAGTATTTGCAAAATATAAGAAAGGATTTTAGCCGTAACGATGGTGAGAGCTATGTCACCTCTTGCTGGTAAGATGCCTTCACATACAACTAAAAGAAACTCTAATTCAAGAAAGTAAATGGTGGAGGCGATTCAGCAGGTGACATGCTCCCCTAAAATCATCAGCAAGCAGGTCTGTTCTTCCCTTTTCTCTCGCAGATCTTTGCTGCACCGTGATAGCCAATTTAGTCCACCGCAGGTCATAAATACCTTTTTTGGTGTCTTACCATTTCTGCTGGTGCTGGAAGCCAAGCAGCGCATCACTTCTCTTCTAGAGGCTGAGTCTTTGGTATACTCTCAGCTTTAAATCTGAGAAATACAGCTGCAGACTAGCAGACAACTTCTCTTCTGAAAGACGTGTATCAGCACAGACCTTTCTTATTCAGCACACGTTGTATCTGTTGCACAACAGTGCTCACGAAAAAATCTGTTGCCACTGGAAATGTTTTCCTAGTGTAACTCTGCCTTCACTAATTAGGTTGTGTCCTATTTAGTTAAGATTAAATAAGGGGTGCATAATCCTTCAGCTTGCAAGTTATCGCTTTCTGTCCTAGAGGCAACTGTACTGGGGGAGAAGAGGCAACTGTCTTGGACGTGGAGAAGGCCTTTCTGGTGGGCTTCTGTATAAAACCAGCTTTTCCACAGCATCTGTACAATTTATAACGGTTCGGTCTCTCTTGCACCGACAACTCGTAAGGGTTTTATGAGAAGGACTGGCTCAATAAGTACAAAATATTTCTTCATCAAAGTGTGTTGCTTTACGTACTAATGAACTCTGGAGACCCGTGATGGTTCTGCTTTTCTCCACAAGACCTATCAGTAAGTTAGGGTCACCCACCCTGGGGAAAGGAGAGGTTTGAAGAGCTGGGAGAGGATCCTGGCCATTGCTTCCCCTTGCACAGGAGCCTCCACTGCCATGTACCCCGGTCAGCCCCTCTGTACCTGAGAGCAGAGCTGAAGGGAAGGATCCACACCTGGAACGAGTCAGGCAGGTAAACAGCTGTGCTTTTATTGTTAGCCCCTTCCTCCAGCATTGCCTCAAAAATAAAGTGCTTTATTTAGAGCTGGTGTCCCAGGCAAGCAACTGCATTTCTGTCTTTGCTGGGTGAGAGAGAAGCACCAAACCGGACCTGAATAACTGAGATTAGCAATCATTTTTCAGGGGCCTCTCTCACTTCTCCTTTCTGCTTTGTCTATTCAGCCTCTCAGGGCAGGCACTGCAGAGCCACCTTCAGCTACCTGAGCTCCTCTGGGTTTTGCTGGTGCTGGTGACGGGGAATTGAGCCAACCAGCAGGGTCAGCACTGACGTTGCCTTTGCTTGGCCAAGGTCCCTAGGCCTTTCCCAGGTAAATCCCAGGGCTGTCCGTGAGGCAGGGAAACCAACTTCCTTCCCGTGGAAGAAAACGGTGGTAGAGCTCATCTGTGCTCTGTGGGCACCCGAGAAGGAAGGAGGGGAGGCACGTCAGCAGGGCTGGGAGGGGAAGAGGGGGCTGGGAAAGCCTGAGAGCGGCACCCAAGTTTGGGCTCAGGCAGACTCTGTGGTGAGCACGGGCCAAGAGTTAGAGTTAGCCACCATGGTGGTTTGCAGCTACACATGCAATTATATATTAGTAAATAAGAACAATACAAAGACTTTCAAGAAATGGCATAGCCAGGACACCACTTGGTCCAGTTTTGTTGAACACAGGAGTGTAGATGGGCACCCTCCAAATCAACAGTTATTTCATCGACGTTTGAAGCCCCAGGCTGCACTTCCTTCTAACAAAGATTAAACAGTCAAGTTGCTAATTTTATCTCATTTTTTTATGGTTTCCTTTCTGTATCCCACCCACTCAGCCTCATATAACAAACTTCTCGAGCTTTTAGTTGACTATCATTGCAATTGGCCGCGGGTGGTATCACAGTTGGGGGACATTTTTTGGACTTGTGCAGGTTTAGCCAGTACTGGCTCTCAGAGACTCCACAGGAAAGCAGGTCTTGTTGGTCTTGGGGCTCACAGAAGTCCATCTGTGTGTTTGCCAAATTTCTCCATCCTGGCAGATAATTCTTGAAGTGGGTGGAAGGTTATAGTTAAATGTACCGCTATGAGTGTTGGCGGATCACTTTCCATTTTCTGGGAAATGGCGTGTTCAACAATGGGAGGAAAAAGTCTGGAGGAGAGTAAAGATGGAAAGGGTAATGCTGCTCCCGTGGAGCCTGCAAGCTCCAGAAGATAAATAATTTAGACCAGAGTTTTTAAGTAGACAGAATGAGACCGTGCTGCTACTCTCCATAATCTGATCCTCCAAGTTTCTTTTAATCATCCTAGGAAATAATATGCAGATTTGGGTTTTAGCAGGACTTCCAAGTACTTGTCAAACTGAATCAATGCTTGCATTAAAAGATGTTCTTCATAGAACTTCAGTTCTGAGAGTTTGTGCGAAGTGAGTGCTGCTTCTGCAAAAGGGTAATGCTGCTCCCGTGGAGCCTGCAAGCTCCAGAAGATAAATAATTTAGACCAGAGTTTTTAAGTAGACAGAATGAGACCGTGCTGCTACTCTCCATAATCTGATCCTCCAAGTTTCTTTTAATCATCCTAGGAAATAATATGCAGATTTGGGTTTTAGCAGGACTTCCAAGTACTTGTCAAACTGAATCAATGCTTGCATTAAAAGATGTTCTTCATAGAAGTTCAGTTCTGAGAGTTTGTGCAAAGTGAGTGCTGCTTCTGCAAAAGCCCTGGCTTGTCTCTGTTCCCGATGGGATATCGGAAAAATAAAGTGGTTATAGTATGAACAAGTAAGTCTAAAGAGAGATGTAAGTCACCACTTAAGATTTCAAACTTTAAAATGAACTGGAAAACAAGCTAGCTACTGGCAGTCTCCTTTATAAATGCTCACCAGCAGTGGTGATATCTTCTTTTCTTGCTATCTCCAAATAAACGAGTTACATGAGTTATAAATACATGAGTTATAAACTGCAACTCCTTATTCTGTTTTTAGGCTCCTCCAGCCTTGTTGTCCACACAGGGGTGAGATTTCTTACCGAGACATCAGTGCTCAAAAAAGTCCCAGTAAGGAAGCTCCTCTACCACATTTTTACCAACATATTTTTGTTCCATTTCTCAGAGGTTCGCCATCAGAGCGAGGTGCAGGCGTAGCTGTACAGCTGCATCTGATGTGCAAGTGCTTATTTGATGTTACATACCAGCAAGCTGTAATAATACCTTACCTCCTGCTATCAGTCTGCAACGAGCCTCGTTTAGGAGACCAACCTTTGAACTCATTTGATTTATATCTGTACCTTGGGCAGGACTCTTCTCAATGTATAAGTAATAGCCCAGTGTAAAGGGCTGTAAGTGGTTTTTAATGCTGCTACTGATAATTCCTCTTGCTGTTGGGAATGGGCGTTTATATTATGTAATTACTTTATAAGTTATAGATATTGTTATTTTTATATAGCTTATCTATTTTATATTGTTATTTATATTTTTATATCAGTGAAAAATGAGTATATATGAATGTTACACAAATTTTTTTAGATCTATAAAGACTACTCATGGTGGGAAAGGCTATGCTTTTTTAAGGAGCATCAGTATCTGATCTGAAGGGTGAGGTTAGATCTTCTCAAGGAGGAAGTTGAGTTTGAATAAAATATTAAATAATTGGAAAGTATAGCATAGCCTTTAACATTTTCTCTCTAGTTCTGGAAAAACTTCAGAATGAAATAAATGCTTGGTCTGGTTTCTGGGGCAAAGGGAAGTGCCTGTTCCTGGGCTCATCACCCAGCTGAACGGAGTTGCTCTAGCCTTGCCTTTTGCGTAGCAGAGACAGTGAGAAACGCAGTGCAGCTTAAAACACTCTCTGAACTGCTCTGTTTTGCAGCCGAAGATGGTCTCAAACAATCAGTGGGCACGGAAAAGGTCTTGCCTTTGCTCCCCTGCCTCCCAAGGGCGGTTACAATCAGCTCTCCTTTCCTAGGCAGGACAATGAAGAAGCAGAAGCCTCATGCCTGTCTTGCATCGTTTCAGTTCTCCTTTGCTTTCTCTGTATTTCTAGCTCCCACTTCTTTTTCTCCACTTGGTTCATTTCTTGTAACAGTCTCTTGCAGACATTTTCCTGCTGGGCTTTCAGTTTCCCTTGTAGGTTCATTAAAGCTGCCTACACAAATGTGGTGAGAAGACAGCTCCTGCTGACCCCTTGAATATCTCAAGGCAGCAGCTAGCAAGAGAGGGGGAATTTGTGCTCTCTTCCCTGGCCTCCAAAGTGCTCTGGCTATGTCCAGCAAACAGGGTATGACCTTGTGAGCAAGAGGTCTCAGTGCAGAACTGGACCCTTCACAGGACAGGGCTCCTGCTGAAGCCCAGGTTGCCATTCATAGGCAACGTAGTTGCTTGTACCTTGGATGCTACTGGGATAAATGCTCATCCAAGCATAGTGGAATGTTTTTCCACATGAAGGTAAGTATAGATTTCTAAACATCAAATTGGAAAACGCTCCAAGTGGAAAACTGAGCAAGCTGACACCCAGGCTCGCACTGGGAAGAAAGTTTCAGAGAGGCTGTTGCCATGTGTTTGAGACAGGCTGTTGGAGGGTCGGGGTGGTTGGGGTGTCAATAGCTTAACTTGAGCATGGTTGGAAAATTACATTTTGGCTCACTCATGGACTGACTTAACATAGCAGCTCCCTGAGAGATGAACAAGTCACCTTTCCTTTTTCCACCAATGGATGTGCCATGTTTTTGTCCCCCCCTTCTCCCTATCACACTGCTCCCACTCTTACTTCTTTACTGACTGTCCTAAAGTGAAAGTGGAAGCCAGTGCTATCCCAGGGCAGCATCTGGAAGAGTCCTTTCTCTTGAAGGAAAAAGAGGGTCTCTAAAATGGGATGCAGACTGAGAACTGCATAGATGCATTTAGCAGTGCAAGGTTCGAAGAACTATTGCGTTGGACCTACAATGTGACCCTTCAGGTTTCTTCCTCCCCAACCCTTTCCCTTTCTTCCTTCCCTTCCCCCTGTCCTTCATTTCCCCCTTTTCCTTCCTTATGCCTTTCCCCTTCCCTGGTAAGGACAATGCTGAACTAAGAGTACCGGTAAGCCGTTGGCTTGGAGTCGGTCTAATTTCTGCTGCTCATACATTTGGTAAGGAGGGATCTGGGGCTTTTTTAATATGTTCCTTTTTTTCCTTCTGTTGTCTCGACAGCACCATCAAAAAACCAATTTAGCTTAGCATAGTGGAAGTAAAAGTAGCTTATCTATCTAAGTTGTGTAATATTGATTTGCTTTCTGCAGCTCATGGCAAAACAGCACAAGAGTGCCACAAAACTTTTCTTTTTTTAACTTGAACAGTTACAAACCATGGTGATTCTGTGATTCTGTGAAATTTAATCAAAGTGATGTTAAAATCTTACAATAAGAGTTGCATTGAAAACAAGGTAATAAATCAGCTGTTCCACAACTTACTGGGGCTGGGAAATCCTTTTTGACTAATCAGTCGCTCCCAACTTTTCTATTAACCCCCTTGAAGTGTGTCAGTCCTACCACCACCTATACCCAGAAGACAAATGGCATCCTTTATACCTGAGTAGTGAAATGAGAGGCATGTGAGGCGAGATACCTGCTCCGAATAGAGATGTTCAGGAGCTTAAGGCCAGAGTTTTGCTAAAGGTGAGCCAGTACGACATTCCAGGCAGGAAGAAATTAGCTTAAGTCAGTTTCTCTCAGTCTGAGGGCATAGTGTGTGTGAATTTGGTACCCGTTTAGCAGAGGGCAGGGGGGACAGAAACCTCCTATTTTGGCTGACATGCATGTGTGCATGGTTTTGTTCAACTTTACTAGGGTCACTGAACAGAGACGTTGCAGAGAGCCCACTGTCAGAGGCCAGGGCTGCCTGCTCAAACATCTAAAACCTCACCTGGGGTCTGCAGAAGAGACCTTCTGAGGTCACTGCCTCACAGCTGATCGCTCCTGTTTCTTCCCCTCGTGTCTCTGGCTTCAGGGAGGCCGGGTGGCAAATGGATCTAGAGCAAAGCAAAAACAGGAGAGTATTTTGCACCGTGGCTCGGTAAGGTACAATGCGTTAGGGAAGCAGGAAGATGGCAAAATGCCTGTGCCTGCTGTGGGATTGGTGTGTTTGTTTGGACAGGACCAAATTACACCAGAGAAGTGCCACCGCGCCATCCACTGCGTGCAGTCAAACACGCAAGACTGTTGGTTCAGGGCCCCTAAAGTGAAAGGACAGTTGAGAACATCATGATATGTAAATATTGTATTTTTTCCTAATGTTTGGGCTAGTTCTCATTTGCTTTCCTACCTAGAGCACTCAGGGCCCGGATTCGTCAAAGCTTCCTCTGAAAGTACAATTCTTATGAATTTTGATTCTTTCTCATTTGAGCCAGAGGATAGATTTTCCTCTGCAATGCTTTGGTGAATTGTTTTCCTTTCCATCTCAAGAATCAGTTCTTGTTGTTAATAGACTTTTCTCTTCTCCTGCGCTGTACCCGACCATTGAATACTCCTTGAATTTCCTCATCTTTCCTGTCTAAGCCACCAAATGCAGTTAGGAGCAATGTAGAAGGTCTATTGTTCCCCTGCTTTGACGGACTTGCATGCTGCCTGAGGTCTTTCTCAGTAACCAAATTCCCTAACTCTCTTTCCAGTGCTACTCTGGCTCCCAGGTACTGCAATATTCTTCATGTCATTGAGGTTTATAAGGTGTTTTTGCGAACAGTTCTGTAGAAATGCCAAGTACTGGTTGGTATTCATGAAAAACAGGCTGTTCCCTAAGCCACTAAAGCTGAGACTATGTTCTTGCAGGGACCAAGATGTGTTCACTAAGTGATGCCAGTATGGAAGAAATACCGCTGGAAGATGATGAGCAAGACAGCATAGAATACAGGATCCTGATGGCCTATGCCCAGCGGCGGTTGTCTGTCAGTAAATATAGGAAACTTCTGAAAAATGAGGCTAATGTGCAGAAATCGTCCTTAATCGGGAGAAAAGTAGAGACTGACCATCAAAGGGATAAAGAGAGACCAACCGTAAGAGAAGCTTTCCAGAGTGGAGTGATTGAACGGCAGAGAAAAAAGCAGTCAAAAAGAAGATACTTGCCAGGATACTGTCTACCTTTTTTCTGCAGCAGAGCAGAGCAGGAAAAGTCCTCCACGCCGTCATTGCAACAAGGTCATGCAGAAAGTCCTGAGGCACATCCTAAGATTGTTCCAGAAAGGAATTCTCAACGTCAGACAAGTATGTCTTAGTTCTTTCCTTTTGCTGCTTGTCTTTAAGGAAGTGGAAAGGAAGAAGGAGGAATGTTTCTTTCACTTTTTGCTAACTCTTATGCTAACTCTATTGATTTCCAATTTGGAGGAGGAATGTTTCACTTTTTGGTCATGTCTTATGCTAACTCTATTGATTTCCAATTTGGAAGGCAGATTGCCAGATCTTCAGTTGTGCCTGGCTTTTCTGTTTTCCATTGTATGGTGGTAAGTATTGTACAACTAACAGTACAAATTGTTTTTTCTGAGCATTGGCTTTTTTTTTTCATCCCTGGTTAGAAAGAAAACATAAAATGCTAGTCAGGCTGAAGACCTCACACGTTAAAAGCAAGAAAGAGATGTTCTTTGAAGGCCCATTCTGATTATGTGATATATGTTCCACACTAAACCAAAGTGCCAGACTCTGCTTGAAACTCTGGTGCCAAGCAGTTGGCAGCAACCTGCCTCAAGCACAGGGCCACCTCTTATAGCCCCACTGTGTATCTTAAATGGAAACAGTCTTCTAGAGTTATCTGAATCTTATCTTTTACATGTTGCTATTATATTAAGTCTGAACCTGCCCTCTCGTGTTAGAAGAAGAGCTGGCAGGTGGTTGTAATCCATATGATATCTGGAGAACCCATCCACATAAACATCTTGTACCCCAGCCACCAAAGCCAGCCCCACATCAGGTACTGCACTGCAGGCAATGAGATTTTACCTTTTCTACTCTGGAAAGTAACTAACATAAATATAACTTGTCATACAAGACTGAGAGAGGAGGAAGAGGTATTCCCCTTAAGTTGCCATATATAACATATGATACGTTGTCATATTGTTTTCATATACATCAGTTAAGGGGTTGTTTGTTTAATTTGTCCAAGCTTGAATACTGTTGGTGTTGCAGCAGTTCTCCTCTTTCACCACATCTAAAGATACTTCTAACCATTATCCATCACCGACTACGCCAGCCTAATGCCCCATCCCTGATCGGCTTAACTGTCCTGGGCCTGTTCCTACTCCCCAAGCCCATAATTCTCCCTCCTGCCAAATCCAGCTACATCTCTCAAGAAATGGTCCCTGCCTCAGCCCAGTGCCTTCTGCTAGGGGGAAATAACTACAACTTCCCATCGTTTTATTGCCAGGGATATATGTCTGCATCTGGATATCTGTTTTTATATCCATTTCATTTTCACATTGCCAAGGAAAGTTATCAACAGTTTGGGTGCAATCACTTGGTGGCCCTGCCAATACCCCGCCGTGTTCCCTGCAGCATGGCCTTGAGGTAAAGCCTCCCCATGCTGGGAGCTAACCTCCCTGAGGGATCCTGCTGGCCTTCAAATGTGGGCTTTACCAGCCTTTCAGCCAATTGCTGGACCAATGCCTAAAACATTAGTAGCAGTATTAGTGTTTTGTCACTTATACTGCTAGCAGCTGCACTGCAAGCTTGCCCAGGCCCTTCTGGAGAAAACAGGGGTGCTTTTGAGGATTACCTGTCTAAATCAAAGGCCTGTCCAGTTGCCTAATCTTAGGTTTCCAAAGTTATGAACAGCCCGATGCCCTTCCTAGAAGTTTAGCAGCTTCCTGACAAGCTCTGCAGCAGACGAGGGGATGGAAATGTCTTCGCGTTCATTCAGCAGCCTTGAAATGCAGTTTTTATTGGCTGCACTAACCTCTGCTGCCCTCATGGTAAACTCTGGTTGTGAATTTTACATGTGTCAGGACGCTGCTGAGCTTGTCTGGATGTCTGAGGGTCACACAGGAGCTGCTGCTCACGGCAGTGGTGGTGGGAAGATGGAGCTTTGCATCCCACACTTTGTTAGCCGAGTTGTAAGGAAGACCACCTTTTAGATGAAACAAACCTTGCGACAGCTCCTCCCGCTCACAGGATCCCCATTGGAGTCCCCTCACCAAGGCAGAGGTCCAAGCCAAGGAGGGTCCCGAACAGGGTCGTTACACAAAGTGGATAAAGCCAGTTTGGTTGCTGAGTTCTCCCGACATTCATGTCTTAATTCAGAAGTGTCAAGGACACAAGAAGCTTGTTGTGCTAGGGGTGCTTCTGAAGTGAAGTCAGCTTCTCCTTTGCACAGGATTTACCCGTGGGAACAAGGAAAGAGCATTCAAATACATCATCTTTTCTGAATCTGGACCTATAGATGAACTAATCATGGGCAATACCACTCACAGTAAGGTCTAAGATTCACACAGAGCAATACTCTCGCCGTTCTTAATGTGTGCCTGCAAGGATGTATGCTATTGAGCAACACTCACACTTGGTCTGTGTGGGCTCTGTGTGGTTATCTGCTGCTCAAATACTAGAGAGGGGCTGTACTGCTTTACTTGTCTCTCTAAATTATTACCAGCTGATCTCAAGCAATAGCAAAGCCCCAGCGTGGGGAAATGTATCTCTGGATATCCTATGGGCACTGCCACCTCAGGGGGCATGTAAATGAGTACATCACTGAATTATTTCCTGGAAAGATTAATTGCCTTCTTTATTTCCCACCCTCCTTCCCAATGAGGTGAAACAGCAGATGTCAACCACATTGCAGACAAACTTGCCAAGCTTGTTACTTCCAGATCCTGGGAATCTCCCTCAGATGTGTCATTCAGGACAACGGATCAGGACCTGCATCAGAAACAAGACAATAACAATCCTACTGATGAAATCAAGGGTAAGGAACACAGTAAGGGTGAAGAATTTCACACTCATGGGCAGTAGGTCGGGTTGGGATTGCACACTGAGGCATTTTGTCTAGACATGGTGTATTACTTGGAACTTCTGTGGTAAGACACTGTGAAGAAGGAAGTTTGCTCTGGTGATTCTTGCCGTTGCCCACATTTTGGGGACTGTTCTTGCAATCTTTAACAAGTCCTGCCTGCTACTGCAATTAAAGGGAGAATCCTGAAAAAGCCAAGGATGTGTGACATGAGAAAAGGAAGATAAAGGCAAAGGGACATAAGGTGACAGAGCAGCAGTAGGAGTGGCAGGGCTGAGGGCAGAGTAATACACTGGGGCTCTAAGGCCAAAGACTAGTCCTTGGGGCAATAATGTCTTGGTCAGCCCCTCTTCAGTGATGGCACAACACTGCTCAACAGTATCTCTGCTGTAAGTCCAAACTGCTTGTTTTTTTTTCATGACGCCTGCAGAGATTTAGTTTTAATGCAAGCTTTCTAGGGATTTCTGGTTACAAGGGGGATCCTGCCATACTTGCTTTTTCTTTAATCCGACAAACCCAGAGTTTGTCCTAATGAGTTATGGAAGGAATAAATGGTAATGATGAGGGGATTTTTTTTTTATGATTTTAAGTCTATTTTCATGAGCTTTTGCTAGCTGCTCTTTTGTTCTGGCTGGTTATCAGGAATATCTCAAAGCCCAAAGGGCTGGCAGTGGGATGTTAAAGCCCCTGCCCTTTCCCTGATTCTTAACTGGAGCAAAAAGTTGGGCAGATGGAGAGACAGCATTGCTTACTCCACGCAGACTAGAACAGTGAGCTTCTGCTTAAAGCCTGGATGCACAACTCATTGTGATTTTGCCACAAAATAGTAGCTGTTTTCATGAGTAAGTGACAAACTATGGCTTTTGCCATAGTTTGCTGTCTGGATCCTACTAGAAGGCTGAGATATTTATGTTACTCTTTTCTTTAACAGATGAAGAAAAGATAATACAAACAGTAGTTACACTGTTAAGACAAAAAGGGGACCAACTAGAAGAAAAGGTAACTCCTTCTGTTTTCAGGAGCGACATGGTTTAGAATGTGCGAGAGAGATTACGCTTGCCTTGGGAGTGAATGTTTTGTGACCTGTGTCTCTACCCTGAACTTCTCTTTTCACATTTAGGGCTTTCCAAAACCTTCATAATTTATCCTGAAATCTTTCTCAAGACCAGAGGACTAGCAGGAATCTCTGCTGGGGTGTGCGAGGAAGACAACAAAAATGTACATTTCAAAGAGGAGTCACTTTCCTCATTCCCGTTGAGTTTCATGGCACGTTGAGCACTTGACTTACTCTGAGACATTACATTTGGCATACAAGTTGCTCCCAGTGGAGGGAGAGAAATGCTACAGCTTTGAGAGTTGCTGCAGGGAAATAAATCTTCTGAGTGCATTTTGAAAGCCCTGCCCAAAAGCTATAGAAGAACCCCCGCATGAGTTCATTAGTTGGAGTGGATGTTTTCTCTATTAAAAATATAGGTCCTCGTTCCCTTCACTCCCTTTTTCAGTTGCCCCCTGCCTGTAAAGGTATAGTCCCACATGGAGGACGTGCTCAGCTCCTGCAGCAGAGAGGTACCCAAATACAGTAAGAAGCATCACAAAGACCATGACTGAGCCAGTGGAGCTTCGCATGGCAGCTTTTGCCAGCACTTTCCATAACCTTGCCTTTACTGTCACCTTCCTCCTGCTCCTGTATTCCCATATCACCTCACCTGCAGGTCACAGTATCAGTGTCACACTTATTTTGCTTTCTCTCTCTCTTGCTTCTCTTACTCAAATGCAAAAAGCCTGAAGATTTTCTTGAGGAAAAAACCATAGAGCGACCTCCAGAGCCTGAAGGAGCAGCTTTGCAGTGAGGTGTTGGGTTTGTGTGTCATCTCTTGCATTCACCACTGTGATTAGACTGTATTGCATGTGTTACCCAGAGATGGTCTCCCTTCCCGATAAGATGGGGAAAGCAATTCCAACAAAAGTGGTTGGATTTAACCAATCTGTGGGAAAGTAACAGAAGATTGGTGAGGGGGACTGTAAATACACTCAAGTGACTCGCACGTGGGGTGCTGGAGAACACACCTATCACACTCATTGTTGCTCAGTTTTGTGTGCTCAACAAGTAGAACATCTGCACTCAGATAACACAGGCTGGGATGGACTCAGGGGCACCTTATCCAACACGCCCGAGATTCCTGCCCTGCTGGGGGAGAGATCAAAGCCCAGCAGAAAACTCTGCCTGAATCCTTGAAATACAGACCCAAACAGCAAGTGGGAGCTCCCTCACTCCCTCGCTAACGAGGACTCTGGTGCTAATAAGGACTCTTGTTCCACGGTGCCTGTGTCCCCTGCTTGCCTGCCTCTGCCCGGGGGCTGCTTCAGAGGTTCCCTGATCCATGGGGTATTGAGATTAAATTGGTTCTTTGCCCTTAACAAGATTCCTGCCCTGCTGGTGGAGAGATCAAAGCCCAGCAGAAAACTCTGCCTGAATCCTTGAAATACAGACCCAAACAGCAAGTGGGAGCTCCCTCACTCCCTCGCTAACGAGGACTCTCGTGCTAATAAGGACTCTTGTTCCACGGTGCCTGTGTCCCCTGCTTGCCTGCCTCTGCCCAGGGGCTGCTTCAGAGGTTCCCTGATCCATGGGGTATTGAGATTAAATTCGGTTTTTGCCCTTAATCCATGGTTTTGTGGTTGCTCCTGCATCCTGCCTGCATCAGCTCACACACAATCTTTATTGTTAATTTCAGATCAAAAAGGACAAAGTTTTCAATCAGCGTTTTAAAGACATGCTGTCCTACACCTTCTTCAAGAGGATCACTGATTTGTTCCTGGAGGACGTCTCAGCAGTTTCCACAAGTGAGCCAGGAGACCAAGTACAATGCACAAAAGTTGCCTTTACAATGGAAGTTGCCACCAGACTTACTGCTGTGGACAACCACCCTATGAACCTGGTCTTGGGCTTCGGATTAAAGTACCTCAGAGAACACTTCAAGCCATGGATTCAGGAGCAGGGTGGCTGGGTATGTGTTTTGCCTCCTTTGACTTGTGCATGGGCTAAGGCAACTCAAAGCAACACATTTCCACAGAACTAACATGGGGCAGATGCAAACCAAACCAAACCACGTGTCCCCCAGCTGTGGAATTACTTGCTCTAAGACATCTTCTATGCTGCAAACTTTTTCCAAAAATCAATAGGAGACATTCATGGAGGATTATTAAGTATAAAACACTATTCCAGGCACAGATGATCTCTCCACCACAGATAGCTGAAGGCTGGAAGAAGCACCAGGAAACTTCACGCTTGCCCTAATCCTAGCCTTCTCCCTAAAAGTCTGTGGTTCTGGGGACAGTCTGCCCTTACAGTGTGGTATGCTTCCACTTTCCCTGTGCACAAAGGCATCTGTTTACCTTCATATCCCTCTTTCAAAGCCAGTTGTGCCAGGTCCTCTTTTGTCAGCAGTGATGCTGAGCTGCTGCCCTTTGCAGCTCATTTACCTGAATTTGCTGGGAGGCACCTAGAACAGAGATCCTCCTCCCTTTGTGCTTCATGAAATGAGTGGAAAGACTCAGCAGCCTGTGTCCGTTGGAATAAATAGCAGGCAAGGTCAGGAAATCCTCCTGGCAAACCTACTGGCTGACCTCAGCAGATTTGGAATTAGGACGAAGATCCTCGTTGGTTTTATAATTGCAAATTTTCTTTCTATGTTACAGGAGAAGGTTTTGACTTCCCTGGATGAGGAAGAAGTCGAGTAATCATGCCTGAATTCATTCTTCAGGGTGCAGGAGCCTTCATTTGAGGAACACACTGGATCTTACCATAAACTGATGCCACAACAATTTGTGGCTGTGTATTTTTTTTTCCTGGAAGGTTGGAGTGTCGCATGGCTAACTCCGATGGGTACAATTGCACCTTCTTAAAGTTGGTATTGATGTAGGAGTGTTCTTCAGTGGATATGAAGGCACTTTCAAGTCCCCTGGAGCACTCAGTGCCACAGATAGTGATTTTAGATAGCTTTCTGAGTAGAGATGATTGCCACTTCTCCTATGGATAAAGTTAAAGTGCAGACTGGATAAAAACATCAAAAGATGCAATCAAGAACCACTGGACTGTGATCATCCATTAACCAAGTGAGCCATGTGCTGCCAGATTTGTGGAGTTCATAGAGGTACCATCTGCTATCAGTTCCACAGTCCCTTGTTAGAAGATACACCTACACACTGCTATCCATTTCCTCTTGTCACCTCCTTCTCTGATTAGATTCTCCAAAGCATTGATGCCATTTTATACTTCTGAAAGGGTTAGTTAGGGCTTTTTACTCCACTGCCTTTCCCCTAGGAAAACAGGCTTGATCTACCTACAGATTCTTTTAATTTGAACTCTTCGCTTTTTAACACCTTCAAAGAATGGCACAATAGACATTGACTTTTACAGTATTATTTTGTCCATTAATGTGGAAGATACAAACACTGTGAGCACTTTGTAGTCCAAGAAATTTAAAGTTTATCCTACTGTCCCGGTTTTCCTCCTTATTCAAAAGCAGCTTGATGCTGTGTGTAATATCTCAGGGACTTCTCCATAAACTGAACTGACCCTTCATCCATTGAAAACAAGTGATCTGATTAGAGTTCTTGACTCTGTACGTGTGGCAGTGGAAGGAATAACAGCTCATCACCTGAAGTAGAGGCAGCTGCCAGTGAAACTGTTCATCCTTTTGAGGCTTGGTTCGTGGCCCATTTGGCTGATGACTTTTGGATTTCTGTCCCCCACAAACCCCTGGTGGAGAAAGATGGAACTCAGGATGTCTGCTGAAGCCAAAACCATGGCATTGCCTCTGTGACTTTCCAGTACAGACAAGTAATGTTTCCTGAAGGGGCTCCTGCCTCTCAGTAAGATTCCCTTCCATTACAGGTACCCGTTCAGTGTGTACAAGTACGTTAACTACAAAGATTACATGAAGAACTTATCCACAAATTGTGAATTTGAATGAAAGGGATAAAAAGCGTTTTAACTGGATGTATAAAATATGCAATGCTATCAAAGATCAAGTATTTTTCTAATAAACCTATAAAACTCATGTGTAGCAAACTGTGCCTCTGTTTGGACATGTACGTGTGAAACAAAAGACAGAGAAGTTGGAAGCGAGCTACCTTTGTTTCCCTTCTTCAAAGGAGTTGGGAAATACTTGATATATCTCTTGGTATACTTGATAAATCTAAGGTTCCCTTAGTTTTTCAGAACACCCACTCTTTCTGATCACTTCAGATACCCCCAAAGGGGAGAGAATTTGTGGGGGAGAGGCAAACACTTACCCCCAACGTTCAAAATGTTGTTCATCTCCTTCTGTCTCTTGCTCCAACAGCTTTTTCCTATGGAAAAAAAAAAAAAAAGTGAGGCATTGTACCCTCCCACACGTTGCAGGCTGCTGCTTTATTATAGATTTGATTGGTTTCTAAAGCAGGCTTGTTAGCTAGATATTGGCTCTGAAGAACTAGATCTGATTCCGTTTTAATTACACTAAGACTAGACTTGGCCTGCTGGAGTACACCAGTTTGCCATTAGTTGGGCACTAGCTTATGGAAGTCGCTTTTTAAGTTTTCTCTGCTTGAATAACAGCCTGCTATTTAGCGAGGTGCGAATTCTGGGCTTGTGAGCGCGGTTTTCAAGCTGAAGGTTTAGCAGCCCTAAACCCACACTTGTCCCTCATATCCCCACTTTGGTACCTCAGGGCAAGTTTCATGCCAAGAGTAGAGCCAACAGCAAAATAGACTGTCTTTGAATGGGAATGTGAGAACTAGTCGTCTAAGAAAAGATATTCAGCTGGTTTTTATTTTTCTCTGCGTTGTTAAGACAGATTTTTTTTTTTTTCAGTAGCAGTAGGGGCCAGCATAGGAGATCAGCCAAGCGAGCTGTTTCTTATTTAGTCATTCTTACATTTGTCATCTGCATCAGTTAGATTTTTAAGAGCAATCTACTCCTTTTATGGCAGGGATCTGTGGTAACCTCCTTGCTGGAACGATGGCTTAGGTTTATTCTAGGAGCAGTCAGCAAGGCTGAGCTGCTGCCACTGCTGCTGCCTGGCATGAATTAACAGAACTCTGTGGCTGGCTCAAGCAGTCTTCGTCTTGCTGTCTTTTTTTAATCGGTGATGACTGAGCTAGCGGCAGACAAATCCCTGCGTTTTGGGTGCATATGGAAGGGATGTTGTGAGGGAAGGCAACTGGCCAAGCCGTCCTTTTATGTTACTCTCTCACAAGGCATCTTTGTGCTTACCTGTAGGACCTTCTGGCATCAACTTGGGGTGTTACCATAAAAGACAGAGATTTACTGTTAAAACAAGAAGCGTCACTTTGGGATTTTTCTTATTCTGTGTCTACCCTGGTCAGTATCATGCTATTTGTTCCATCAGCAACTTTAATTTGAAAATGAGCTGATTTCACTGTGCATCAGGGTTGCAACAACAACCTGTGCGGGTGGTGCCAGGATTTATTTTTAAAGGATGCTAGGAGTGTCCTGCAGCTGCTTTCTGTGCTGTGTTAAAACCAGTCAGATTTAGCACTGGGGCAGCTTGTGCTGGTACTTGGGAGCTGCCATCCCAGACTAAGGTCACCCTCTGAGAGCCAGCGAGAGGGACCTGCCCTGGCTGCCGATCCTTGGAGCAGCTAAAGGCACCAGGTAAGAAGATCCCACCCACATGTTGCACAGAGAATCTCTGCCCTGGCTCCTGGCTGCAGTGCCCCTTGTTCCAGTGAGTAAGCAGGAGGCAAAAATAGTAGAAAACAGCCCTGAACCTTCACCCAAACCTGCTGTTTTACTTGCCTGTTTGTTTACCTTTGCTTGTTGTCAGAAGGTTGGGTTTCTTTCGGCTCTCAGGAAACGCTGGCAAAATCCAGTGTTTCTCCAAAGTGCGCAGGGAGGCACCCTTGGGTCACCACATTGCACAGTCTCCCTCTTTCTGCTTCTCCTTTCTCTCCTTCCCACAGGTGAGCACCACGCTGCTTCTGCCGGTACACACGTTGGAGCAGACAGAAGGGCAGCAGGTGGACAGACAGTGAATCGCAGCGAAGCACCGAGGGGAGCAACTCGATAGACACCATTGTCTGAAAAAAAGTGGATTTACTGCCTAGGACTTGTCTGCTGTAGAGGCTCACAGCACGGAAGGTGTTCAGGGTGAAAAGTTCACCATTAGGGTCTTGCGGTGTGGGCGAGGGGTGAGAACCAAGCAGAAAACATTAAAGCTGATTGCCTTGCTTGTTTGTTATCTGCAGCTGTGATGGTCTTGCCAGGGATGCTGTAAACCCCAGAAGAGAGATGGAAACTCTGGCTTTGTTGGATGATACCTCGCACAACAGGTTGTGAGGTGGGGTCAGGAGGTGTCCTGAGACTGGAGCTACTGTGATCCATCCTAGCCAACCCACAGAGAAGGTTTCTCCTGTGCCTCATGACTTTCTCCACTACTTTTCTCCACATCAGGCTCTGGTTCTCATGGAGGACTTCAACCACTGTGATGCTTGTTGGAAAGGCAAGACAGCCAGGGACACACAGGAGGTTTCTCTAGAGCACTGTGAATGACTTTTTGACACAGGCGGTAGAAGAGCCAACGAGGCTCTGGTTCTCATGGAGGACTTCAACCACCCTGATGCTTGTTGGAAAGGCAAGACAGCCAGGGACACACAGGAGGTTTCTCTAGAGCACTGTGAATGACTTTTTGACACAGGCGGTAGAAGAGCCAACGGGTAGGTGTGCTGCTGGAAGTTGTGCTCACAAAGGACTGGTTAGGGAGGTGAAAGTTGGGGGCAGCCTTGGCTGCAGTGACCATGAGATGGTGAAGTTCATGATCCTGTGTGGAAGAAGTGGGGCGAAGAGTAGGAGTGCAACCTGGACTTCAGGAAAGCTGACTTTGGCCTCTTCAAAGACCTATTTGAAGGAATCCCATGGGCTATGACTCTATAAGGTAGAGGGATCCAAGAGAGCTGGTTAATATTCAAGCACATCTTCCTCCAAGCTCAAGATTTGTTTGTCCCTACGAGTAAGAAACCAGGCAAAGGAGGCAGAAAGCCTGCATGGACGAGCAAGAAGCTTGTAGAAAAACCTCAAATGGAAGAAGGAAGTTTACAGAATGTGGATAAAGGGACTAGCCACTTGAGAGGAATATAGGAACGTTGTCAGAGTATGCAGGGCTGCAATGAGGAAGGCTAGGCTCACTTGGAACTAAATCTGGCAAGGGATGTCAAGGACAACGATTAGCAGCAAATACATCATTCAAGCAGAGAATTCAAGTACATCAGTAGCAAAAGGAAGACTAGGGAAAACGTGGGCCCGCTGCTGAATGAGGTGGGTGCCCTGCTGACAGAGGATGCAGAGAAGGCAGAGTTACTGAATGCCTTCTTTGCTTCAGTCTTTACTGCTAAGGTCTGCCCCCAGGAGTCACAGACCCTGGAGCTAAGAGAAAAAGTCTGGAGAAAGGAAGGCCCTCCCTTGATCAAGGGGGATCGGGTTAGAGAACATGTAGGCAAACTCAAAATGCACAAATCCATGGGCCCTGATGGGATGCACCCAGGAGTGCTGAGGGGGCAGGCAGATGCTGTTGCTGAGCCACTTTCCAGCATCTTTGAAAGGTCATGGAGAACAGGAGACATGCCTGAGGGCTGGAGGAAAGCCAATGTCACTCCAGTCTTCAAAAAGGGCAAGAAGGAGGATCCAGGATACTAAAGGCTGGTCAGCCTCACCTCTGTCCTTGGAAGGGTGATGGAACAGCTCATTCTGGATGAATTCTCTAAGTATGTGGAGAAAAAGAAGGTTATCAGGAGTAGTCAGCATGGATTCACCAAGGGAAAATCATGCTTGACCAATCTGATAGCCTTCTACGATGGCATGACTGGCTGGGTAGATGAGGGGAGAGCCGTGGACCTCGACTTCAGCAAAGCTTTTGACACTGTCTCCCACAGTAGCCTCATAGGTAAGCTTAGGAACTGTGGGTTAGATGAGTGGCCAGCAAGGTGGATTGAGAACTGGCTGAATGGCAGAGCTCAGAGGGTTGTGATCAGCAGCGCAGAGGCCTGTAATCAGCGGTGTTCCCCATGAGTCAGTACTGGTACCTCTAGTGAAATTATCATCTTTTAGTGGGTCAGATCCATCACACTCATCCATAACTTCCCTGTAGAAATAATTTCAATGAAAACACAGTGCACAGACAAGGTGTGTGGGCAGATGATTTCCGTGTGGTGCTCACACAAGGAAATCTCAGCTCTTCCAGCAGGACTGGGGAGCATTTGCCACCACCCTTACCTAGCGTTTCTCACTTCTTTTATCTGCTGGGCAGAGAGGAGCATTTGCACCACCCTTACCTAGCATTTCTCACTTCTTTTATCTGCTGGGCAGAGAGCAACCCTTCAGCCACTCACTGCCTCCTGGTTTGCATCCTTCCACATATAGCCACCCATCTGTATCCCAGTTTGGGGTACTGGGGTGATTATTACCAAAATATAGGACATAATTTGTTCTACTTTCACTGTGGCCAGTCCAGGGTAACTATTGCTGTACCCTCCCAGATCACAAAGAAACTTTTGACAGCTGCTGACCAAGAGAGGTCCTACACAGGCTCAAGACCTTTTGCCCACAGCAAAACCCCAGATTTAGCTATAAAAGGACACAGTTTAAAAAAACAAAAACAAACCCACCCACAAAAAACCACCACAAAAAAGCCCAACAAACAACAAACCCAACTTAAAAGTTTAAAAGGCTGACCCCAAACCTGAAATCAGGCTGAATATCTGATGGACCTCAGAATATCCATTAGATTTGGGTCCTCCCTGAAAGTGGATTCTGCCCACCCGTAGGGCAGAGCTCACAAACCAGAGGAGGTCATGCACGAGATGGTGCAGCTACAAAATGTGTGTGCCCATGGAAACATTCGCCCAGCCCAAATCTGCTCCTGTTTTCGGAGGCTGTGCCCAGTGATACCTCCCTGTGCACCTGCTCCCTCGCCCTGTCCCCACAGGTGAAGAACCAGCCCCACCAAAGCAAGGAGGAACCTCCTCTGCCGACTGAGTGAAACTCGCCCTTAATGACAATACAACAAAAC